TAGATAGATAGATAGATAGATAGATAGATAGATAGATAGATAGATAGATAAAAATAAAAGAGAAAGCAGAGCTGTGGAGGAACTGAGTCAAGCCACTAAGGATGAAGACACAGCCATCAGACAGTCACTAGGGAGAAAAGGCAGGGCTGGAGAGATGGCTCAGCAGCCAGAGATATTGCCTTTGCAGAGCAGCTGGGCTGGATTCCCAGCAGCCACACAACAGCTCACAGCCTTCTGTGATTCCAGTTTCAGGAGATTTGACGCCCTCTTCTGACCTCTGCAGGCATCAGGCGCTCAAGCATTTGTATGTGTAAACTAAATAAATATAATTTAAAAAATAAGAAAACTCAACAGGGACACTAGATACAGGATTAGCTAAAGTTAGGAAGGAATTAGCAGATTTGAAGACAGGTTTGAGGACGTCGTCAGAATGGTGGACAAAGCATGAAAGCGTGCACAGCACAGAAACACAGCTGGGCTGCATGCGTGAGCACATGCCAGTGCCACATATACCAAGGGAGAGCTCTGCAAACTAGACAGAAAGTAGGGAAAGACCGCTGACGAATAAACTGAAGATTTCACATGAAGAAGGCAAAACAAATAAAACTAAACCACAATACCAATTAATTCTCTATAATTTTCTCAGAAAAAGAAAAGATAGAACACTTGCAGAAACCAAAAGGAAGAAGAGACATCAAAGAAAATTTCAGACTAATAACTCATATAAACATGAAATACAAAAATTCTCAGAAACCATTAGTTACTCTACCAACTTGTACAGGAAAGACAGCAACACCATCAAACAAAGGACATCCAGGGAATGAAAAATGGGGCCAACATTTTTTTTTCTTGGTTTTGGCTTTTTGAGACAGGGTTTCTCTGTCGCTTTGGAACCTGTCCTGGCACTAGCTCTTGTAGACCAGGCTGGCCTCAAAGTCACAGAGATCCACCTGCCTCTGCCTCCCGAGTGCTGGGATTAAAGGCGTGAGCCACCATCACCCAGCTATGGTTCAACATTTAAAGGGTCAGTTACTGTGAGCTACCACAACAATACATGTCAACAAGACTAATCATCTCAGTGCCTGAGGAAAAATCATTGAAGATACAGTCTTGCTAAAACAAAAAGTAAATTAGGAATTAAAACTCTTCAAAGGGCACCTGAAGCAGCAGCATCAGGCCTCATGCTTGCCTGAGAGATGCCCAAAGCTTCCCCTGAGGCCAAGTCTGAGCCACTCTCACTAGTGAGGCAGCACAAAAGACACCACAAGGGGAAATTAAACATTTCAAACGGCTCCCTACAGATCCATCAAATACGTCTCAGAAGTTAGCTATTATTTTTTTAAGAGTATTAGCATGTCTTAAGAATAACAAATCACAAGCAGTATTTGTTCTAAGTGGTTTATCACTCAGGATGTGGGCATAGTCCCATGGCCTTCCTCCCTTTAACTGAAGTACCGAATCCTTGGTCTGAACACTATTTCTCCTGAAAACTCTCACGCCCTCTGCTGTCCAGGAATTGAATAGACAGTAATAATAGTCACTACCATTCACAGCTATTTGACAAGAAACACTCTACCCGCCTGCGTTTATAGTCAGACGCTAAGAAATGGCTTGGATTTCTGAGACAGCGTTAGGGGTCAGAACGTTCTAAGAATCTCTATTTTTTTCCTTATTAAAATGCAAAGCATGTTCATTACTGGTAACATGATGATTAGAGATAACTACCACTATAAAGTGCCATGCATCCCTCTGGAATCATTTCTGTGAACATATTTCTATATTAAATTTATTATTATTATTAAAAAATTGAGATTTAACTATACATAAAGGTTAATACGTGCTCTTTACCCAATATTATATTATAGATTATTTCCTACATGACTGACAAACCTTCAAATTGTAATTTTAAAATTTACAAATATATAGTCAATTTAATTATAACTCTCCTATTGGGGGATTTAGATTATTAAATTATTTCTAACTACAAGTAGCCCCATAAGACAAAAATTCTTGTACATTCATAATCTTATGCTTTCATTACTTAAAGCCATAATTTCTGGTTCACAAGAGCTGCACCTTGTGTTTCTGGACCTGTTTCCTTGAGTGTTATTTAGGAAGAATAATGCTGTCCTTATGAGCAGTGTTTTGTGAGGATACAGGGAGATGGTGCCCGTAAACATGCTTTGAAAACTGTATTTGTTAGTCACTGTTTGCATGTAGACAACTGTGACACATATTAGACCGCTAGGTGTTGGCAGTATCTTACATCAATCTTGATATCAATCAGAGTCTCAATTTTCAACCTCATAAAATCAGAAAGATAATTTCTCAATAAATTTTAATTCCTTTAGTTGAGAGTAATGAAATAATGATTGGGCTGCACACACTATTATGGCTCAGTTGACAAATCTATTAATTTAAATTTTCCAGAAAAGGAAAAATTACTATAGAAACAGGATAATTTATCAAGGATGCATTTTTAGTCTATCTATATCTAGCAATTACACAGTGAATCTGAGTTCATTCTCACTTTGCTTGTGCCTTTTTCCAATCTTTAGAGCTATACCTGTGGGTTTTCATAAGAAAGATAATTTGAAGACTAATCTGACTAATTTGTTCATACAAAACACAAAGCCCAGGATGCTATTCATAGAGTGGGTTTGGGCTTAGTATAAAATCTATTTTATCCTACTGAGGCAGGCTAGAAACACAGACATGATGGAAATGTGGGAGGAAAAAGACCCTTCACCCCAGAATCTGACCAGTGAAGTACTGGTCGCCAGCGGAAAATGAAGGATTCTAACACAGTTAGCAACAGTATCTATGAGGCTGTCAAGAGAAAGATAGTATTTCTTTTATGCAGAGATATTTCCAAGTTAGAATAATGTAGCAATGAATCACACTTAAGACCTAAACATACAAGGCCTTCCTTCTTCCTCAGGGATAAACCAGCAACTTTCTAGGACTCTCACCAGAAGTCCTATTTACAATAAAGGACACATCTTAAATTCCTCTACAACTCTCACGACACATGGTTTTATTAGGACTGTAATCCCATCAAAGACACCTCGAGAGCCACCCTATGACTTTACTTATCGAAAAGAGACAGAAAGGTTTTAAAGATAAGTCTTAGAAATCTTTTGAGTTGTAACTTAAGGGTCACCCAGAGAGTGAATCTACAGAGCTACTGCTAAGACACTTGAGGGCACACCCTCCTTCAAAAGCCTGCCCCTGTGCTCTTGGGTGGGTCTCATTCTTTCCCCAAGTAATAACCTCTATCAATTCCTATGCTGCCTAAATCTATGTTTAAAAATCTCCTTTTAATCACCTTCAATTCTATTTCATACGAGCTTATTGAAACATTCATTTTTGCAGCAAAGTCAAGGATGGGTTGCACCTCCGTGGAGTTGCTAAGGATAAGGGCCTCTGCAGACTGCTGACAGCCACTGTCACTACTGCAGTCATCACTAAAGGAATAACGTGGATACTGGTGAGTTGTGTGATATCTTGATTGTGTTCTGACAAATAAAGCTTGCCCGGGGTCAGAGGGCGGAGCTAGCCACTAGCTGACCATAGAGGTTTGGAGGACTGTAGAGAGAGGACAGGAAGTGGTAAGGCGGGGCAGAGACAGCATCTTGGCCCCTTTTGGACAGAGGAACAGAAAAGGTGGGTTGTAACTGGCAGCTGCTCCTCTGCTTCTCTGATCTTTCATGTTTTTACCCTGATTTCTGACTCCTCATTTTTATTGATAAGATTATTTAGATTTATGCTTCACTGGTGAGGACTTTAGCTCAGTCTACCCAGTTTCTCTATTACTTAGGTCCCAAGATTTGGGGTCATGTTTGGCTGAGGGCTTCAGTCCTTAAAGGTACCATATTATTTTATTTCATTTGAGACAGAGTTCTCACTTTGTAATCCAGGTTGACCTCTGATTTGAGATCCTCAACTTCAGTTTTCTGAATGCTGGAAGATTTACAAGTGAACGCCTCCACATAGGACTTGTGTTCTATTAAACCTATCCATCTGTACGTAAGAAATTTAGGGAGTTATGTTTGGAGAAAGGGGAGAAATTAGACAAGCAAGGCTGAAATAATGTCCGCACCCCAGACTTTTCATTATTTTTAGTGCCTACTAATAATAAGGAAGGAGAGAAGCCTTAGACAGCTACTTAGTAATTCTATCTTTATATCAAATCTGAAGAAACAGCTCCTGGCAACACAGATAAAGCAACAGGGCCAGGAAAATGATCTGACACCCCCGCCCCCACAAGTCTAATTGTCTAAGAAAAAGTATTTTATTTTACCACTAAGGCCGAGGATCATTTGTAGTAAAAGATCTATGTTATCTATGTTACTCTCTAAACAAGTTCAAATGTCTCAACCTCTTCTGGCAACTTAGAAACAATGCTAGTCCTAAAATACTACTTTAATTGTTTGGTAGATCGTGCATCGCTCTTTGTCAACCGCTGTTCCACTTGATCTCTGTAAAAACCCTTCCACACCAGGCAAGGAAAATATTGTTGTCGTCATTTTACAAGCAAAGAGGAAATTCCAAAGGCACTGCCCTAAGGTTACCGACAGTTAGGAAAGAGTCAGGATTCCGACACTTATGTAGTTCTGTTTATCTGAGAGGAAGATCTCCGAAAGGGCAGAGAAGAGGGGGGCGAACAACAGAAGGGTCTGTCTCTCTTGCTAAGTAAGGTCTCTTGCTGAGGTGTTCTCCTACTCCAGGGGACCCAGCAAGTTTGTTAAAGTTTGGTTCTAACAACCTGCAGAAGGTAACGCTGCCTGTAAGTCCCATCTGTAAACACACTGTTTCTTACCCTTTCTCTTGGTCCCGCTTCTTATTTAAACTCTTTTCTTTCTCTGTGTGTTCTGGTCTCTGCAGCTTACTCCAAAACTCCAATCTCCAAACAAGTCGCGTCCTTGGTATCCAAGGTAACCACACAGCGGAGTCCAGCCTGCCCCTTCGACTCTTCCCATTGGTTAATTGGATTATGTCCCTTGACCAATGGGCTTGAAGCAACGGCAAGACTCGTCTACCAATCGGTTCTTGTCAATCTGTCGCACTGCCTCCTGGGATATGTAGTTCAAATGCCCCAGGGTCCTTTGATGTTTAGCCCCATTAGAACTACATGTCCCAGCGGCCTCCGCCAAAGGGGCGGAAAAAGGCGAAGAGTCCGGGTCAAGGCGCTTTGGAGTTGTAATTTTTTACCGGGTTTGTTTTGCTGCTGAGAAGGCATCGCCTTCCAGGCTGACCCGAGGCAGCCTCGCGGTTCGGGCGCTCGGGCACCCAGGGCGGGCATGCTGGGCCGTCTCCCGCCATGCGCGCTGCGAGCGCGGCCGGGCGTCTGGTTCGGGACTCCTGGGGCCCGGTCGTGCGTCTCCGGCGGGGATCGGCGGGGATTGGCTCCTCACGGGCCTCGGAGGGAGTGGACGCTGCCGGTGAGCCCGTTCGGGCGGCTGAGGGCGCGGCTCCCGTGCCACTTGCTCGTGCGGCCCCTGGATCCCCACGCGCACCCGGACGGCGACCGCGTGCAGGTGGCAGTGTGTGGCGTGGGGCTCCAGGCGGGCGGCCTGGACGGCCTGCAGGTCGAGTATGACGCTGCTCGGCAGGAGATGGTCATCCTGTCCAACGACATTGACCCCCGGGCGTCGGTGGAGGTGAACGCGCCCCTCAAGTTTGGCAAGTGAAGTGGAGACGGGTGTGGGGCGCAGCACCCTTAGGTTTCTTCCCACCCTGCTTGCTGACTTAATTGGCCTCTTCAGGAGCCCTCTTTTCTAAAGTGACACTCTTGGATTCCCGAACACTATCTAAGAGTCAGTCAGGGTCCCAGTTTAAGTTAAAACCGAATGGAAGCATGAATTGGAATAAGCTGTCTAATGACTTTGTGGAGCCCCCCTGTTCTTCTTGGTCACAGTCATGAGCAAAATGTTGCTGAGGTTTTTTGATAACCTCTTCAGTGACTTGGTGTCCACCTTGTTCACATCGTGGGGCTGGGCTCCTACTCAGCTCTGTGTATAGCTGCCTCATTACTAACCCGGAAAAAAGTACTTGCTTTCCAGCAGACACCCAAGCTAGTAGGTGCCTGTTCTTTTAGGCATAAGTAAATTCTCAGGGAGTAGCGAACTTTGAAGCGCTTAGTAAGGCTGCCTGGGAAAATTCATAGTAGTACCTACAAAACATATTTCTTAGGTGTTTGGGTCCCATTATTTCCCGGATGCAAGTGCACTCGCCCTTTCTAGGAAGGCTTCCCCAGACTGCCATTCTTCCTGGAGCAGAGGGACGGTGATGATAACAGCATTTACCTAGTATGAGGTTATTTTTATCAACCCTGACAGTCGCGCTATAGAGGAGATACTCATTGTTACCGTTTTAGATGAGGAAATTCAAACATAGGAAATGTCATAAAACAAGTAATATAAGTGAACAAACAAGAAACCCAGAGGTGTTATGAAACCTACTTTCTAGATGCCTTTTCCACCCGAAATACAAAGAGATGGGCTAGGGTTTGAGCTGGCTCGAATGGCTCAGCTATTAGGCCCTTTTGCGTCTCAACTTCTAACTCACCGAGATGAGTAAGAGGCTGTGCCCACCAAATCTAATAATTTGAAGGTGCTGGGGAGGCTGTACCACATACAGATAGATTAAGGTGGTGTCTTAGGGTTTCTGTTGCTGTGAAGAGACACCATGATGGCAATCAGAGGTTCAGTTCATTATCATCATGGTGGGACATGGTGTCCAGGCATGATGCTGGAGAGATAGCAGGGAGTTCTACAGCTTGTGCAGGCAACAGGAAGTGGTCTGTCTCACTGGGTGTGACTTGAGCGTAGGAAACCCCAAAGCCCGCCCCCACAGGGACACACTTCCTCGAACAAGGCCACACCTCCCAATAGGGCCTCTCCCTTTGGGAGACGTTTTCTTTCAAGCCACCATAGGTGGGTTTCAACGGAGAGCTAAAGAAAGCTTAAAACGGCACCTTTGAAAATGGATGCTGCCTCTGCAGGCAATCCCAGATTGCCTTAGCTCTAACCAGAACCCTGTTTCCAGTGTACTGTCTCCAGGCTTCTGTTCCATAGGCCTCTCACATCTATATAGTTAGTTATTTGTTTTTCTGACTTGTGGAGGAGCGGCTGAGTGGACACAACATCACTGCTGTGGTGTCCAGCCTCCGCCCATCATCTGGCTCCCCAAAGAACAGAGTGAGTTCAGAATCCCATCCCTCTTCTGTGTGTTTGTCAGGGCTGCCTTTTCTCTTCCGGTATGACAAGAGTCAGGTGGGAAATAAGCTGTACAGTTATGGTCATATCAGCGTTCGACTTTTTATTCTCATTCTTGTTCAGTGTATTGTTTCTAATTTAAACCATTGCAATGCAACTGAGGAGATTCCTTCTATAAGTATTAGAGTTGTGGCATTGGGTCCCCAAAACTTGCTTGGGTGGAACATAGGGGTTTGTTTTGTTTGGTAGGTTTTTTTAATCAGCTTCATACAAGCTAGAGTCGGGAGCCTAGCCTCAATTGAAAAAGAAAAATGCCCTCATCCGATGGTGAGGCATTTTTTGATGTATGATTGACGTGGAATGCCCAGCCCACTTTGGTTGTCCTGGTTTGTATAAAGAAAGCACGCTGAGAGAATCATGGAGAGCAAGGCAGTGTTGTCTGTGATCTCTGTGTCAGTTCCTGCCCTGAGTTCATCCTGACTCCCCTTCGTGATGGACCGTAAGCTATGAGATAAACCCTTTCCTTCCCCACTGGTTTTGGTCAGTGTTTTATCTCAGCAGCAGTAGCTAGGACAACACTCTGGGAATCATTGATAGTGATGTGAATTGTATATTCATTATCACTGTTTAAAATCTTGTTGTTGTTTAGTCTGATGAGACAGCGTCTCTCTACAGAACCTTCACCGTCCTGGAACTCACTGTGTAGACTAGGCTGAGAATGATTCCTATTTTTCAAATTTTCTTCAGAAACATTCTTATTTATCCACAATATTGTAGCTTTAGTTCTTCTTATCACTAGGCTTTTGAAAGTGGTTCTGGTTATTAAAACTTGTTTCAAGTACCCTGTGATGTAGCTGTATGGCAATATTCCCATTCTGTGCTTGTAAAAGGCTGGAGTAGAATCTGAACGCCTGAATCACGACCACATACACTGACCCATGCCATTGTGATACGCTTCTGGCTAGGGGAATCAATGTTTCAAATCTTCTGGAACGTGGATCAAGGCTGGGCGACCTACCCAACATTTGGTGACTCGTTAATTCACTGCCGTGTCCTTCCTCCTTTGCGTGTGTTCTTTAGATGGGCTGGGAACTCCTAAACGATCGCACGTGAGATGGGAGCGCTGGCCTATAAGAACAGCCGTCTCCGCGCCTTTATTCACATCTTTGCTATGTCCTGTCTTTAGATCAGACAAGCCAGGGGCTAGAGTCTCTCAAAGCTGTTGGGAAGGCCCTGCATTTGGTTCTGCTGCGTAGTAAAGACCTCTTGCTTTCAGGGAGAAACGATCCTGCTCTCCCCAGTACTGCAGTGAATCCCTGAGGACCTGGTATCTGGGGATATTAGGATGCTCTGAGATCAGGCACTCACTGTTTCCTTCTTTCTGCTTTTGCTTGTAGATTTGAATATCGAGTCATTGGGGTCCGGCTCTGTAAAGGTACAGAATATTGAATGTGATAGCTGTAAGATCAGCACCGCACAGGGGACCAGCATCTTGCAGTCTGTGAAGGTATGAGCGCTTCTCTCAGTTTGTTCCAGTTAAAAAATACCTTAAACCGTAAAGCACAGAAACAACCTACAAGACTTAGTTTAGTATTCAAATGATCATTCATCTTTTAGAAAGTCTTAAAGTATGTGGCTATTTCATTCTTTTTTTTAAAAAAAAATATGAAATGCTTCCCAAATTTGAGTCATCCTTGCACAGGGACCATGCTAATCTTCTCTGTACCTTTCCAGTTTTAGTATCTGTGTGCCAAAGTGAGCACTATTTCCCTCACTTTTCACATACCAGAAGTCCTGCGCTGCAGTACTAGACAGCTAAGTGTGCAGAACAACAGATGACTCATCTTATGTTGTAGTTCACAATTTTACATTCCATTTTTCTTAAAATGAGATTGGTCTTAGCCATAAGTGTTTTAAATTATACCCCCACTAGAGAGTTTGCTGTGATTTCTGTAGCAAGCTTTCTTCTGGGGGCCACTAATGAGCTCCCAATCATGACGTGGAGATTTATTAGTTATGAAAGCTTGGCCTTAGGTTAGGCTGCTTTCCTGCTAGCTCCTATAACTTCATCTGTTTCTCTTCATCTTCGTCTCGCCTCAGGACTTTTTTGCCTTCCCTTCTTTCTGTGTGTCTTACTTTCACTGCTTGTTCTGTCTGGCTGGTGACTGCCTGGCTTCTAACCCCAGGCGTGCCCCTCTCTTTCTCCCTTGTTCTCTCCTCCTCCTCTATCAAGCCTAGATTCCTCCTCATTCTCTCTGCCCGTCAGCCCCGCCTATCCCTCTCCTGCCTATCTATTGGCTGTTTAGCTTTCAATCAGGTGCCTTAGGCAGGCAGCGTGAAACAAATATAACACATCTTTACGTAATTAAACACCGCAGCACAAGCAAATGTAGCCCCCCTTCACATAGTTAAATAGTTCACAGCAGAAACAAGTGTAACACACCTTGCCCGGTATTTAGTATCCCACAACAGTTTCTAACTGTCCCAGTATTTACACAATACTTTGATGCATTTTGTAGAACTCGGTCATCCCTGTGTTGTAATTGCTGTACTTTAGCTTTGAAAACATTAATTAGAGTGATGCATGCTTTCCGTTTTTACCTTATTTGTTTATTTGTTCATCTTTAGCTGGGCACCTGTGTTGTGGCTATTATTTTTAAGATGTGCTAACATTTCTTTATGCTGTGGAACATCTGTTTACTGATACACAGATGTATTGTATTTTTTATGTCGCAATTGTCTAACGCAGCATTACTTTGCCTGTCTGAAACACCTGATTGGTCTAATGACAGCTGAGCGATCAATAGTGGAACAGGAGAGAGCCGTGGGGCTGGCAGGCGGGGAGAGTAGACAGGAGGAGGAGAACTCCAGCTACGCAGCCAGCCATGGAGTAAGAAGTAAAGAAAGGTGTATGGAAAGAGAGAAAGATAAAAGCCCAGAGGCAAAAGGTAGACGGGATAATTTAGGAAAGTTGGCTAGAAACAAGCCAAGCTAAGGCCAGGCATTCATAAGTAAAAATAAGGCCTCCATGCAATTTATTTGGGTGGCCGGCCTCCAGGGAGCTGCGAGAAAAAAAAAAAAAAAACACCTGCTCACCTGTTTTTACCACTGTTTGTATATGAGACAGCTTAAAAAAATTTAGCTGTGTAAACTAAGAATACCCCAGATAGCCTTTTTAGCGTATAGTTTGGTATATATCATATATACATATATATGGGGGTGTGTGCAAAAAAATCTTTACCTTGAATGATTAACTGGGTAAGAAAACGCTAATTTGTTTTTTCCTTAGAAAGGTTTATTTGCTCAGAGATGCTTCAGTTTTGGTGAATTAATTTTGTGAGCCTCACATGTGGGGTTTCTGGTTCCAGACTGCAGCTGTCTACCTCTGCGTTCATATTTCCATCTGGTAGTCCCGAAAGATCTGTCTCTGTCAGTTTCAGCTCCATTTCCTCTTGCCACTGTGGGTAAGAAATGCAAATTATTTCTTCACCCGTGGCACTGTTGCTGTTTAGGGATTGGTTTTGTTTTTTTCATTTTTTTTTTTTTATCCTATTGGATGTGAGATGTTTAGCGGCAAACTCTGACTGCTGCCTCTCAGATGCCACCAAGGCACAGCTTGGTTGTGAAAAGGAAAACTGTCTCCAGACATTGCCACATGTCCTCTGGGGACAGATCACCTCCAGTTGGAACTACTGTAGTGTAAGTCGGCCATGCTTAAAGCATGACTGAGAAAAGCTTATGAGTAATGGTGAACTAATGAACTAGTACAGTATTTTAAGGCACAATAGTATTATTCCTTTTTAACTTTTAGTTTACAAGAATTTTATGGACTAATACAGCAATTTCAAGATAGAGTTTAATTCTGTTTTTAAAGTACATTTTGTATTTGTTCTGTGGAAGACGTGTTAAGAAAGAGGAAAAGCTGTGAACTAGCAGTGTTGAATAAAATAGCTCAAGAAAGAATCAGAAGAACCGAAGGTGACAGTGGGGCTCCTGATTAGTTTATGGCAACTTGACAGGGACTAGAGCCCCTTGTGAAGGGGGAGCCCTAACTGAGGAGCTGTCCCATTGGCCTTGACTGATGATTGATGTGGGAGACCCCGCCCTTGGGGGCGGTACCACCCTTGGCAAGTAGGCTGGAGAAGAAAGCATTCTAAGCCAGCCAATGAGCAACTGTCCTTCATGGTCTCTGCTTCAATCTCCGCATCCAGGTTCTTGCCTCAGTTTCCCTAGGTGATGTAATTCAAGTAAACTCTTTCTTTCCCAACGTTGTTTTGGTCAGTATCTTATCACGGCAACAGAGAAACAAACGAAGACACTGGTCTTTTACTCAAAGAATCATTCCTGCCATGTTGGCCTTAACTAACTCACATTCATAAACGCAGACACTTCAGTAAACTAGCTGGCTTAGGTTTTAAAATAAGGAACAATATTATCTTGAATTAGTGATCATGTGTTAATATGTCTACCTTTCACTTAATTAACCTCATACATAGGGTGGGAGTCAGGTGAGTTTCAGATTGCAGCATTAGCTCAGTGTCTCTAAGCCTTGTGCCTTTGAAAAATCAAAAAAAAAAAAAAAAGATGAGCAGGTGCGTGGAAGTTTGCTTACAGCGTCACACATTAGAGAGACTCCGGAAATTCACTTCAGCTGAGAGCTTTAGAAATGGAAGCAGGGTTACTTTGGCAAGAGTTCTAGAAAGTTCGCTAATAACTTGGGTTCAGGTTCACATCTGTGACCGTGATGTGTTAACCACCCTGTAAGACAAATTCTTTTGAGAACGCTTGGTTTCGCTCTTTTCAATACTTTCCTTACAGCTGATTCCTGGCTTATTTTACGCATACAGAAGAAAATGTTTCCATAGTACCGTGCGAGTTTACTCTCTACCCTCTGTGGGTTTTTTTGTTTTGTTTTGTTTTTCAGAGCCAAAATTTACACATCCAAACGAAAGGAGGCAACGTGATCTGTCTGGGGACGGTTTACGGAAACATAGATATCCAAGCTTCACACCAGAGTGTAAGATTGAAACTCAGGGACCTCAGCTCTGCTGCCGAGCCTCACAAAGGGAAGCTTCTATAGGATTGGCTGTGGAACGTTTTCTTCTTAGTGCACTTAGTTCTTTAAAAAGCTCATGTTGGAACTGAAGTGGCTGAAGCTTATAATATAAATTTTAGTGTGTGATTTAATACCTTTGATAGTTATTTAGTTCATTAGAATCAGTAAACACTTCATATTTTAAAATATTTAAAGTCTAAAGATACTCTTATTTTGATGGTCATGAATTTTAAGTAATTCCACCATTATGGGAATTGGGATTTGTGTAGGTAGGTGCTGTAGTTCCTTGGATCCTGTACTCTCCCAGGCTCGCTGCTGTGTGACCAATCGGAGGGTCAGTTCTGAGATACACGTGCAGTTATGGTCAGCACTGATTAGAGGACATGATGTCGGGAGAGGGAACAAGACAGCAGGGGCTCGGGATGAAGTGGAGGTGGAATGAGCGGTTGATATGCTCAAAATCCGTTATGTACTCCGAGAATTAATAGAAAAATTGAAAAAGCATCTGAAAATCAGCTCCAGTGTTTCCACAAGGGGGCACTGCGAGACAGGGCTACGGTCCCCAAACCCCCCACCTCAGAGATTTGTTGACACAGAAGGATGGTTCCAATTGTAAGCTGTTTCCTTGCTTCCAGTTGTTTATCATGCTGTTAACAGGAAGGTAAGGTCTGGGGACTGTGAATTCTCAGTTGCTGCTGTGATGAATAGTGCTTTAGAGCTTACAAAAATTATCGGGAGTTATGACCATATCATGTAGCACGTTGCTGGCAGTTTCTAAAAATTATATCACATTATATTTATTCATTTATTTGTGTGAGTGTGTGTGTACACAGTGTGTGTGTGCGCGTGTGTGCGTGCGTGCATGCGTGCGCGTGTCAGGATGCACATGTGGGGGTCAGAGGAACACTAGTAGGAGTCAGTGCTCCCCTTCTCCCAATTGGGTCCTGGTGATAACACTGAGGTTTTCAGACTTGGCAGCAGCCGCTCACGAGGATCTGCTGGCCCCTGGCTGGTGCAGTGGAGTCAGTCAGGTGGGCTGTGGTGTTGTTGCTGGCTATTGTCAGTTTCCCATTACTATTTTCTGAGAGTCTGTGGGAAGTCGTTTAAAACAAGTATTTAAATATATGATAACTCTTTTAAATTAAACTAGGCAAGTGTTTCGAGAGCCTGTAGCCTTAGGTCACTGCCCTTGGAGATGACCTTTAGTTTTCTCAGTCAGATTACTACCTCCTTAGAAGTACAACAGGCAACCCTTGCAGTAATGTGTAGTGTTACATGTGATATTACATGTGATGTCACGATAAGAGCCCATGTTTTCTGTGGGGGTCAACACAGGTGTCTTTCTCAAGTGCTCCTCACCTTGTTTCTGGAGACATCTTCTCCCTGAACCGGGAGCCTGTGGACTTTGGCCAGACTGACCATGCAGTGAGCTCTGGGATCTGCTGTGTCCACCTTCCCCGCACTGGGGTTATAAACTGGTGGTACTAGGTTTTCCCATGGGGGCTGGGGATCCAGATGCGGGGCCCATGCTTGACTGGCGAGCACTGTACTAATGAGATGTGTCTCCAGCCCCAGGATTACATGCTTTCGATCAAATATGGCCACGTTATTTCTTAATTTGTCCTAACTGACATGAGTATCGAATATTTCTTCACTCCTACTTCCTGTGGAAACTTTTATTTCTTTCCTGAGTATGGTGAGGTGCTAAAGATTTAGTATAGATATATTTTTCTATTTTTCCCTTTAAAACATTTAAAAGTTTATTTTAAAATATAAAAAATATAATTACTGGTTAACAGCACATATTTAGGATTAAACTTCCTGGCTTAACCACTTACTACATCTTGAGACTTTGGACAAGTTACTTAACATTTCTTTGTCTCAATTTTCTGGAGAATGTGATCACAGTAATGGACCTGTCTGAGAAGACCGATAGAAAGATTCAGGCATTAGTGCAGGGAAGGTGCTTAAAACGGGGACCTGCATACGGCTGCCTCTGACACAGGGCTTGCCTACCGTGAGGATGAAGGAAGGGCCAGAGGAGAGGTCACCGGCACTTTACTTCCCTGTCCTGCATCGCGCTGTTTGAAAGGAAGTGTCAGTTCACGTACTCAAACGAGATAAACAACAGGACTGTCAGTGGTGTGGCTGTTTTAAATGGTATTATTAATTTCAGAATCGGCCTCTTATAAATTAACAAGCATAGATAGTTCATGTGAGTGCAGGTTAGTGTCACGTCTTTCTGTCTGGACTACAGAGTCACAGTACTTCCTAAAGGCGTGTGGGCACGTGTGCGTGCCTGTGTTTGTGCACGTGTGCGCGTGCATAATGACCAAGGGTGGGGAAAATGTGTGTGTGTGTGTGTGTGTGTGTGTGTGTGTGTGTGTGCATGTGCATAATGACCAAGGGTAGGGAAAAATCCCTCCTTATGTCAAAATTAACTTTAGCAATACTTCTCAGGAAGGTATTTATTTTCTGATCTACCTTTTGTCCTCTCTTTAAATGATTTCTATTAGAAATCAGTGTACAGTTTAAGCTAGGCAGTCTGCATGTGATACTTTTATCCAGTAATATTTCTGATTATAAATAGCAATTTTGTCAATATTTTGATGTCAACTGAGCTAACTCTAATTTTTCTAATATGTGGTCCTTGGAGAATTTAGGATTTCTGGGAAATTGTATGAATGATTGGCTGTTATGCTGTGCTGGTGATGTGTGCTAGGATTTTACTTGCTTTCATTGGCTTTGGTAATTCAGGGTGTTTTCTGGCTTCCTGGGAGTGTTTTTCATTTTTAACGAACAGTATAGATCCTTGGTACTTTCCAGACCCTTAAATAAAGAGTATCTGGAAACCCAGCTTTATTTCATGTGGTAGTGGACAGTGTCTAGGCAGAAGTGCTCCTTAGCTAATTCAGGGTGCTTCAAATGTTCCAGTAAATGTTCTTTTGGTGTAAAACAGCCCCATTCCCTGTTGAAAGGCCAGAATATTCCATTTTGTTGCCTGTTTTATAGAAATTCTTGGAGAGCATGAACATTAAGTAAGTTTTCATGGGTAGAGTTTGTAGGTAAAGACTTTTTTGTTGGTCTCTCTCTCTTCCAGTTTTCAAGACAGGGTGCCTCTTGTAGCCCTGCTGGCTCTCAGTCCATAATCAACTTAAGATAAACAAGTAGTTAAAAAGCAATGTGATCATACACTTTCTAAAAAATACCAGAAGTTACATACTGTGAATCCAGAGGGGAAAGTAGTTTTGCCCTCTGCCCCTAAGACCCACCAAGTACTTCTCTTTCTCATTTTATACTCTTGTCTCTAGTCTTTCATTCTTGAAACTCAATCTTATTTGCTAACATTTGTCAGCACTCTAACAGTTTTGGGAATCTTGTGAGGAGGGTGATATGGATGCCGCTGTGTTCAAACAGTGGCCCTGTGGGTTTCAGTGCGTACTACTTCAAACCGTTCCTGGGCAGAACTGTGGCAAGCCATCATAGTAATTGAGTGTGTGGTACCAAGACTTTCATAGTAACACATGTCTGTTTATTACATGGTAGAGATGATGTGGAATTCTCCACTGTCTTTGTTTACATGGCGAACAATATTTGAAACATAAACATGTACTGAATTTTGTTAGGGAAATTAAGGATGAATAAGAATTCCTCTCACTTTGTTCACTGGAAGGCGACTGCCTTATTAAATGCAAAGTGGAAAAGTTTTAGAAGGTTATAGTTATTACATCAACACATGAGAAAAGCCATGTAGCTCAGCAGCATCAAGTAGGTGAGGCGCAAAATGCATTCATGAGTTTAATATAAGAATGGCAGGACATTGCATTGATTAGTCAGATAAAAGATACACACAGAACATCTTCTGGAACAAGCATCTCCCTGCTGAGAGGCTGTCCATATTTCCGCAGAAGATAAAGGTTGGCTGCTCTTCGTCTGGTTACTGTTGAATTGGAAAATGGATTCAGACATAAGAAAAGGCACAGAGAATGCAATCAGTATAAGAATGTATAATAGAAGGGAGGAGATAGAGTGATCATTTGGAGTTAATATAATTATGCATGTGGATTTTCTCTAATGCAAATAAATCTTTGGATTTGGTGAGTTTATTGTGGTTGCTAGATTAAGCTCAGATATAAACATTAAGATAACATGAAATTTCAAGAGCTGCATTGTGTAATAGCACTTTAAAAATGTCTAGTAGTAATAAACACGTAAGATAAATTCTACAAAGAAAGCATAAAACATTGTTAAGAGGAACTAAAGAAAGCGTAAATATGGAGGAGTCGGGTGTTGGCTCTCCTTCCCGTTCTGCAGGAGAGTGCCTGTCGCTCACTGTCTTGGCAGCTAGAGCTGGGAGTCAGTTGTCAAGGTGATGCATACTTCTCATGGAGTTGGTCGTCATTGTAGATCCGCCGTTCTCAACCTCCCTCACGCTACAACCCTTCAGTTCAGCTCCTCCTGTGGGGTGACCCTCCATCACAAAGTTATCTCGTTGCCACTTCCTAACTGTGATTTTGCCACTGTTGTGAATCGTAAACAGTATCTGATGTGTGACCGCTGTGGGGTTGTAGCTCACAGGTGAGAACTGCTGTGATGACCGTCCTGGTTGTTCCAGTTTGTTTTATAATGAACTGATCGCAGTCTCTCTTTTACTAGAGCGTGACCGTAGATAAGCTTCAGGGAAGTTGCGTCCATATATCGACAGAGGATGGTTTACTGAAAGTCAAGTATCTTTATACAGAATCTTCGTTTTTGTCTTCGGCTGCTGGGGATATTGCATTAGGAAATGTTCATGGTAAGCTGACAAGGGCCTAGTGCATTTCAGACTTTTCACATAGCATAAAATTTAAGAGGTGGCTCTATAGTTCAAGAAGGATCAGGGAACTGGCCTTCTAGATAATTAGTTGCAGACTAGCTGTCTTTTTAAAGAAAATCTATGAAAATAAACTTACAAGCTAACTTAACTTGATTTTGGCAAGAATTTGCAAATTATGCAATATATATGAAGCTAATGGTAATTCTGACTTTAAAAAAATTGTATTATTTTACATTGTGTGTGTGTGTGTGTGTGTGTACAGATGTGCGTACTGTCTCTCCAGCCCCCGTAGTTGTGATGTGTCTGTGTGTGTGTGTGTGTGTGTGTGTGTGTACTGTCTCTCCAGTCCCCGTAGCTGTGATGTGTAAACATAGTTTTATAAGAAGAAACAATATCAAAGAAATGAGATAGAGGCAGTATTAATAAAGAGATTTCTTAGTGGCTACTTTTTATGATAGGAGAGGTAACAGTTAAGTGAGTTAAACATTTGGGTAGATCACATTATAGAAACTCTGTGGTACTAATGTTGGGTACAGTGCGTTCATGTGTTTTGTGCCGGCAGGGCTCCTCTAGTAATGTGCCATCTCCGTTGTCTTTAAGTATCTTCTTGTGATGTCCCGAACGTGGCTCCACAGAGGGCAGCATCACTTAGTGAACGTTCCCATTATGTAGAGAAAGAGAGACCACAATGGTGAGAGACATGGCCAGGGCTGCTGGATGTCTGCCCTTTGTGTTCCCACACAGCAGCTGGTTCAAGTCCAGCTGTACTTTCTGAGATACGTGCGGGTGGTATTAAGACCGCTTAGTCCTCGGGAGATGTGCGTTCAGTGTCAGCACGTCTGCTAGATGTGCCGTCTTCCACTCCTTAGTAAGGCGGAATGCTGGTGTCCATACAGTTGCAGCACTCCCGCATTTTAGTAGGGAGCTCAAATCTAAGTTGTATTAGGATTGGCTAGGGCTAGTGGGGCTAGCAAGTAACAAATCGGGGATTGGCTAGGGCTAGTCGGGCTAGCAAGTAACAAATCGGGGATTGGCTAGGGCTAGTCGGGCTAGCAAGTAACAAATCGGGGATTGGCTAGGGCTAGTGGGGCTAGCAAGTAACAAGTCGGGGATTGGCTAGGGCTAGTCGGGCTAGCAAGTAACAAGTCGGCAGGCGGTCTTCTGTTAGAGAGTTTAGATTAGAATAACCTTCCACCTCGGTTTGATGACTGAGCTCAACAGTCCCTGCACTGATAACATTACTTGAACCTAAAATAGAGCAGAGCTATAGCCAAATAAAACAAGTGGTTTTCTTACCTTTTTTGGTGTTATTCAGTGTGCATTTGGTTCTAAGCAGTAGTGAAATAGTAATAACTTGTAATTTCATATTTTACGTGACTTCTAATAAGTATCACAGTTCTATGGTGATCATAGTTAAGGCATTTAATATAGTGGATATTTTAGGTCTGATGGGCTCTGTAGGGGGAGTCATAGGCTCTGCTACAGTTCAATTTATTCATTCAACATGGTTACTGACTGACTTCTGTGTGCCAGATTCCCAGGTGCCAGGAGTGTGGACTTGGGCAGGAAATGGTACCCACCTTTAAAGGACACACAGCTGAGCAAAAGGACTTCCACCCATCTCCAGTTGTCCCTAACTGTCCTGGAACTCGCTCTGTAGACCAGGCTGGCCTTGAACTCACAGGAATCCGCCAGCCTCTACCTCCCGAGAGCTGGGATTAAAGGTGTGCACCACCACCTTCCAGTTAAATATTTTTGAAATATTCTTTATAGCCATTCTTCAGATTCCCAGCTTTTTGTTCCACTGTGTTTTACTGTGTAGTAGGGCTCTGCTATTCCAGAGGGATGTGATTAGATCCATGTCTCTATAATGAGAAGTGGTCTTCATTCTCTGTGGACCTTAAGCTTTTGGTTTATAGCTGTAATAATCATTTTCTCAAGACTTCCTATCATAGCCAAGTTTGAGAGAATCATATTTTTATCTAAAATAGTATTTTTTAATTAATTAATTTATTTGTTTATAAAAATTTCCACTTCCTCCCCTCCTCCTCATACCCTCCCATTCCCCCCACTCCCTCTCCTCCTCCCCCCTGACAATGGCACTGGGTCTTGTTTTGTCTGCATGTACTGGCTTTCTGGGATCCTAGTCTGTTTGGATGCTCACCTTCCTAGACCTGGAGGGAGAGAGGAGGAACTTGAACTTCCCACAGGGCAGGAAACCCTGACTAGAATAGTATTTTGCTACATTAATTTAAGGCTATTTTAAGTGTATAGGATCAGCTTTCTTGTATATATGAGACTAGACTCACTGGCTAGGTGACTATAAAACTATGTCTTAGAGCGGCCCCGCTGGGTTTCTGACGTAAGATTTCTCCTGGATTATAATCATGATGTCATCCAGGGCCGTGAGCTCTCAGTGTTCAATGGGAGTAAATACAGCTCCGTGCCTCCTTATGGCTGTTGCTAGAATGCAATTCATCCTGTTAGCCAAAAGCCCCTTGATTTCTTTGTCAAAGGCAGTTGACAGTGTTCCAGCTGACTTCCATGAGAGTAGCAGGGACTAGAAATACAGAATTATAATCTTAAAATCGAATCATGGAGGTGACAACCCAGCACCTTTCTCCCGCTCTCTCTGTCTGGCCTGCACGCGATGGAGGATCCCGCAGAGGGCGTGGGTGCTAGAAAGGAGGGCTATGGGAGCCCTTTGAGAGTCACTGCTTTGGACTCTCGACCACACGCAGTGCTGAGACTGCATTTACGGGGTCTGACAGCTGGACGCGTATGTAGAGCACACCAGTGAAGTAATGTTTACCCGACACATTTCACAAGGTCTTCAAAGCCTTGTAGTGGCCTAAGACATAAAAATAATTTCATGGGCCTTTCCATTAAAGCCATGTTCTCACCCCTACATAAATGCACCCCTTGTCTTATGTCACATGAAGGGTTTTGGGTGTTCCACGTTTACAACTACTTTTGCCATCATGCATGTCTGACGATGGGGCACAGGAATTGTGTCTTTCTTTTTACTTTTTCCAGAAATTGACATACTGTTTACAAAATATATCAAATAATTTTCAATTGATTGATTTATTTTGAATTAAAATTGAATTGACTAATTTTGAATCAAGTTATTTCTTGTTTCTGTAGTTTTAGGTTAGATTAGAAGGGATGATGTCATTGCATACATTTTGGGGAGAGAAGCTATGAATTTCTGGTTCTGGGGGTACTTGTACCTATAGACACATGGGAAGAGCAATCGTAATTCTGGAAAACGTATTTTCACTACATGGTGGAAAGCTTTGAAGCATTTTTCTCTGTTAGTCATACATCTGTGTATTCATTGTTATCCCAAACCACTTTAACACTTGGCTCAGAAACTACTTTAATCCAACAGATGTGGCAACTGGCCTGGAAAAAAAAAAAGACATTTCTATGAAACATTTATGTTCCTTGGCTGAAAGTTGGCTTTGTACTCTCTTATTAATGAACTGGCATTGATGTTTATGTTGAAAAATGTGGGGGAAGTACATTTTGTGAGGGTGTCATTGCTTTCTCGCCATGTGTGTGTGTGATTGTTTTGTAGGTATGCTATAAAACCTTCAGCGTGGGAAGAGAGGAGGAGGTTATATCCCTAAGTCATTTTCTCTGACGGGATTTCTGATACTGACAGAAATGACCACAGCGGCAGCAGTAGCAGAAGTGGCATTGTGGGTGTGCAGCTGCGCATTAGGGTTCTCTGGAACACGGTTCCTTCTTCACTATCCCTAGTAATTTGAAATTCTCATTTTCTCTCCTTTGCAGGCAATATCGTATTACAAAGCAAGACGGGTAACATTACGGTGGGTACGTGTCAAGATGCTGGTTGGCACTGGCTTACATCTGTTATTGTGATGCTTTATTAAAATCTGTAGTTCATCTCACGAGCCTTACTTACTATGTAGGTCATGTATAGACAGGCCAAGATGAATGTGTCCACTCAGAGAAAATGCCCTGGACCTGGTATTATAAAAGGAAATCATACAAATTTTTGAGTTCTTTAAATAGCTGCATTAACTCTTTGAAAAAAAAAAGAGCATACTATTTGTGTGTGTGTGTGTGTGTGTGTGTGTTTATGTATAAATTGTTTCCAAAACCACTATCATTTGATGTCAGCCATTAGGTACGCCAATACCTTTTTCATCTGTGTTTATGGGTGTCTGCTGTATGTCAGGAATTCTTTTACTAAGTGGAAATGTATCAGTCAACGAGATTACTCACTTTGTCTAGGAGCGGTCAGCTCTGAGTGCCCGGAGAAAAAGACTAGACGTGTAGATAACAAAAGGTGATTTCAGATCACCGTAGGTGCGATGAGGAAAGGAGGGCAATGGGACAGAGATTGCTTACAGAAAAAGTTACTGCAGTTGGGTGTTCAGGGAAGAAGAGAGACATCTTAATTGAGGTTACCAAAATAGCAACTAAAAGGCTTGTAAAATTATGTATAAAGAGCTCCTACACAGAGGGCTGGCAAGAACAAGCCTTAAAAATGAGATGGGTTTGTCAGTTTTGATGGCGTGCTGGGTGTGGTGGGAGATGAAGTGAGACTAGGTCTTAGAACCTCGTGTGTGTCGCTTCCGTCCCGAGAAGGCTCAGATGGCGGATGTCACATGTCAGGATGCTCAGCCTGTAGGATCTCTTTTTGAGACAAGACCGTGCTGAAATTAGAATGGGTGAGCAGGCGGAAGCAGGGCGATGAGCTGGTGATGGGACGGGAGTGCTGGCAGAGTTGCTTGCCTTCTGCTCTGTTCCCTATGACCTCTTCAAGGCATCGCCAAACTGGGTTTCACCTTTTAAGAAGGTGAACATGGTTTGCCGCGTACACTCCCAGAGGACCGTTTACCCCTTCTTATTTATGGGATACCCAGAGGGAACCCCATAGAAAACTTGAAGTTGCTTTAAAATTCTACCCTTTCAAACTCTTCCGTCCTGTGTATAAAATCTGCCTGCTCTTGCACTTTGTGTAGCTGTAAGAACATATGAACCAGGCAACAAACAACTTGTTCCTCCTTGTTCAAGCTTGGAAGTGGAAATCTAAAAATATTAAAAACCTTGCTTTAAACATGCTTATCCAATTTTGAAGAAGTTTTCCATTTATCTAAAAGAAAACAACACATTTAAAATGCTAGCTTTTCAAGATTAGTTGTTTTTCTCCTGTCAACAAAATATGATACAACTACGTGTTTCCTTGCCTGAGCGTGGTGGTAGGCTGCTGGTTGACATCAGTATTTCACTTTTGAGTTATTAAAAATTAAACAACTCAGTGTTCTCTGGAAGACAAGATTTTGTCCAGAATTCTAACGATAGCTAATTCTCTGTGGGGGTCCACATACTCCTGTCTCCTCTGTAGTTTCTGTTCTCCGGGAGCTGTGGATCTTCTTCACATGAGCTTCTGCGTGTAACCTTTAGTGTATGAATTCTTGTGGATAAAGTCATCATTTTACTCTAGATGATTAATTATTGTTTCAACCACTGTATTACAGAAATGTTTTGCTGCATAACTCTTTAAAATGCAAACTATGAGGTTTGTTAATTTAAAATTTCTGAGTTTTTTGAGAGTTTCATCCATGAGTACTTGTGTTTACGTCATCCCCATACCATTTTCTCACCCTGCCAACTCCTCCAGTGCCCCCTTCAATTCATGACCTCTGTTTTACACACATGTATGTGTTCATAAAAGCAGGCTACTGAGTTTGTGTGTGTGTGTGTGTGGCTGGCTGGAATCAGATAGCCTACTATGTCCTCATTCCCGCAGAAGACTTACGCTGCCTCCAGCTCTTCAGGTGGAGGTGGGACCTTGTGAGATTTCCCCACACACATTGGAATGTCCACTGGTGGTGTTATTTTGCAGGTCTTACACATAAGCAAACATAGTTTCGAGATTTCATATTTGCTACATAGGTTTTAAATGTCATTTGTGTGCTTGCTCTTTATGAAACACATCTTGAGTTTTTTTTGACAGATTTGAAAAATGAGACATTAACAAAGCTCAATACTGATAACATTCAAATATGATTACTTTGTAACTTATTATCTTCCCCATGGTGAAGGGAATAAAAGCATTGTTTGTGGATCACCTCACATTCTTGTAGAGCCCCCTCTCCCAGAGGACTAGTTTTCAAGGTCGCCGTTCAAGCTGGGAGGACATGTGTCCACATGAGGAAGCCGACGTGTTTGTGGTCGTAATGTATCTTATATGGCTTCTTTCATCAGAGGTTTCTGTTGGTACTCATCGAGCAGAGATGTAGCCAGTCTCTGTCTCCTGTCATTTACCTAATGTCCTCATTTATTTACATTGGTATTTACTTTTAACACCTGAAAACTACTAATTGGGATCTGATAAAGGACATTTTGGTATAGATTGGAGACAAATCATTCTAAATGATCTTTGTGCCAGATCTTGAATCATTCACTTCCAAATTTGATTGAAGTTATCTAAAATTTGAAAGAAAAACATTGCCTTTGTGGATCATACATTTTCTCTCCGTATTTTATAAAAGGTATTATTTCTCCGTGATTTTCACCACAGTTGAAGTAGTCAAAGCCCTTGATAAAATACACTTTTAAGGGGGGCTCCTGGAAAGAATACGCTCTGGCCTTCTCAGTACGGCCAGGCTGGATGTTACACTAAAGTTTCGGTGGCTGTGGGGGTGGGGAAGATGACCCTTAGCACTGACATTTCAAGTCATTCTCCAGTCCCTTGTCTCTGACTTTGTTTCCCCTTGACCTTAACCTGTTGGTCTACTGAAAACAAGAGTCACTGACAACACAGGGAAGCCTGACTCCATAGAAGGATTGGGTTATGATTTCCTCACTCTGACTTGAAGATACCTATTCAAACCCAGAAACCTGTCAAGAAGTATTAACTGAAAACAGCCAACAGCCTCCCCGCTTCCTGTGATTTCCACACCCTTGCTGCCCTTCCAGGCAATGCAGTAAAGCCTGTGGATGGCCTTTACTGTCCTACAGCGGGTTTGCTGAAGAGAAATGTTGGCTCTCTCGCTAACCTTGCCCCTGTTTATGTAGACGGAACACAAGGTAAACGCCTACAGTCAGATTTCCCAGTCAGATTTCAAGCCATGAACTGTGGAGCAGGTGAGGTGTCTCAGGGTTAAGAGCACTGGCTCTCTTCCAGAGGACTGGGTTTGGTTCTCAGCACCCACATGGGGCCTTCAGCTGTCTGTGACTCCGGTTCAGAGGACTGGGTTTGATTCCCAGCACCTACATGGTGCCTTCAACTGTCTGTGACTCCAGTTCAGTGGACCCAGTGCCCTCTTCTGGATTCTTTTGTACCCGGCAGGCAAGTGACATTCTTGCTTACCACAACAGCATACACATAAAAAGTTAAATTAAAAGTTTAAGAAGAGATGCATTTTCAGAGTTCTGTAGATAAGTTTTGTTAGCTGTCTAGGTGTATATTTCTAAACTTTTAATATTTGTTTACATTTTTTAAAAAAAATAATAACATTGTTATACAGAAATTGAAAAGTCTTGCAAGGTCTGTAGGTTCTTAAGCATATGTCGAGGCAGGGCCCTTTATTTCAAGTTTATGGTTCCATCAAGAACAATCATGGTCATACTTTCTCTCTCCCAGATTCGTCCTCTGGGTGTCTGAAGGCCTCAAGTCACCAGGGTGCCATAGATGTCCATATCAGCCAGCTGGAGGAAGCGGCACTGACTTCCCAGGAGGGTGAGCCAACTGGACTGTCAGTGTGGTGTGTACTGTGAGGAAAGGATGATGTAATGCGATGATGTAATATTGGGAAACAGGTGGTCGATTATCTCCCATTGGATCCTGGTCTAAACACTGGTCCTCGAGCCCTCTATGAAAGCTTTGTGCTTAGTACAGGTGGCCATAGAGACAAACCTTCTTTTTGTAGAACAAGCAAACATGGTGTTATATTTTGATTGTTACTATAGAATTTCTACTGGTCCATGTGGATCTTTCAGTTTTGTCATGTAGGAAATAGTGTATTCTTTGTAGAGGAAAAAAATCTCTAACTTTCCTGCTAGCCTGTAGAGAACCTCCCCATTACTGTAGAACAGTGGCCTCCAAAGTGTGGTCCTGAAGTGCTCCTATAAAGGTCCCCAAGGCAGACTTCTATATAATTTCTCACCCAGGTCACTTAGTCTGAGTTCACATATTTTATTAAAATTGTATACTTTCTGTTCACTGGAAAGCGGAGTTGTGTCTAAACAGCCGTCTTAATAGACTTTTTATGTCTCTGAAAGCCAGTTCTCTGTCTGCCTACACATGAGCATGGTGACAGGTGACGGCGTAGCTTAGCAGCGTAGGCTGAGGTGCAGAAAATTAGAACCTGTCCTGTATAAAAGATGTATAAAATTGAGAGCATCTTATATCAAGGCTGAACAAGGCTTCCCACCGTAGGGAATAGTTTGCAAAGAACCAGCTCATGCATCAGGAACAGGTCCTGGTTCCACTGCTAGTGACCCCACAAAAGACTAAGCCACACAACTGTCACCCAGATGCAGAGGGCTAGTTCGTTCCCATGTCGACTTCCTAACTGTTGGTCCAGGGTCTGTGAGCTCCCACAGGCTCAGGTCAGCTGTCTCTGGGTTTCCCCATCACAATCTTAACCCACATCTCCCCACCTTCCCCCCCCCTCCGTTCTTGCTCATATAATCCCTCTATCCCTCTTCAACATCAAAAGAATTTGTCAGTATTCCTTCTGTTTCTATTGTGCAGAATGATTTAGGAGTATTGATAGTAGCTCTTCTTTGAAATTCTGTACTGAAACCATCTGGCCCTGGGCTTTTTTGGTGAGAGACTTTTCAGTGACTATTCAATTTCCTTAGGAGGTCTGTTTAAATTGTTTATCTGGTCTTGACTTAAGTTGTCCATTTCTTTTGGATTTTCCAATTCTGTGGAGTAGTTTTTGAAGTATGATTAATGATTCTCTGTATTTCCTCGAATCTGTTGTCCCCCTTTCACTCCTTAGTTTGTTAATCTGGATCTTTTCTCTCTGCCCCCTTTTAGATAGTTTTGGATAAGAGTTTGTCTATCTTGTTGATTTTTCTCAAAGAATCAACTCTTTGTTTCATTGATTCTTTGTATTGTTCTTTGTTTCAATTTTATTGATTTCAACCCTGAATTTGATTATTTCCTGCCATCTACTCCTCCTGGGTGAGTTTGCTTCTTTTTGTTCTAGAGCTTTCAGGTGTGCTGTTAAGTCGCTTCTGTGAGATTTCTCCAAATTCTCTATGTGAGCACTTAGTGCCATGAGCTTTCCTCTTAGCACTGCTTTCATTGTGTCTCCATAAGTTATGGCATGTTATGGATTTATTTTCATTGAATTCTAGGAAGTCTTTAATTTCTTTATTTCTTCCTTGACCCAGAGGTGGTTCTGTTGAGAGTTATTCAGTTTCCATGGCTTTGTAGGCTTTCTGTAGCTTGTGCTGTTGTTGAACTCTAAGTTTTCATGGGGATCCCATAAGATACAAGGAGTTATTTGAAATTTTTGTGTCTGTTGAGATTTGTTCTGTGAGTGAGTACACAGTGAATTTTAGAGAAGGCTCCATGAGGTGCTGAGAAGAAGGTGTATTCTTGTGTGTTTGGGTGAAATGTCCTGTAGATGTCTCTTAAGTTCATTTGAGTCATAACATCTGTTAGTTCCCTTGTTTCTCTGTTAAGTTTCTGTGTGACAGACCTGTCCATTGGTAAGAGTGGGGTGTTAAAGTCTCCCACTATTTATATGTGGGGTTTGATGTGCGATTTTAAGTTTTCATTATATCTGTTTTACCAGTGTGGGTACGCTTTTATTTGGGGCATAGATGTTCATAATTGAGACTCATCTTGATGAATTTTTCCTTTGATGAATATGAAATGTCTTTCTCCATCTCTTTTAATTAATTTTACTTTGAAGTCTATTTTTTTAGATGTTAGGATAGCTACAGTGACTTGCTTCTTAGGACCATTTGGTTGGAAAAACTTTTCCCAACCCTTTACTCTGAGATAGTGTCTGTCTTTTAAGTTGAGGTGTGTTTCTTGTATGCAGCAGAAAGATGAATCCTGTTTTTGTATCCATTCTGTTAGCCTGTGTCTTTTTTATTGGTGAACTGAGTCCATTGATATGAAAAGATGTTACTGACCAGTGGTTGTTAATTCCTGTTATTTTTTTGGTGTTGGTGATGATAGTGTGAGTATTTCCCTTGTTTGGGTTTTGCTGGTGTGAGATTATCTTTTGCCTGTGTTTTCATGGATGTGACTGAGCTTCTTGGCTTAGAATTTTCCTTCCAGTACTTTCTGTAGGGCTGGATTTGTGGATAGGTATTATTTAAATCTGGTTTTGTCATGAAATATCTTGTTTTCTCCATCTATGTTGATTGAAAGTTTCACTGGGTATAGCACTCTGGTCTAGCATCCGTGGTCCCTTAGTGTTTGTAAAACATCTGTCCAGGACCTTCTGGCTTTTAGAGTCTCCATGGAGAAGTCGGATATAATTCTGATAGGTCTGCCTTTATCCACTACTTGGTCTTTTCTCTTTTCAGTTCTTAAAATTCTTTTCTTTATTCTGTATCTTTAGTGTTGATGATTATTATTAATAGGCAAGGGGAGTATTTTGGGTTTTTTTGTTGTTTTTTTTTGTTTTGTTTTGGTCTGGGCTATTTGGTGTTCTGTAAGCTTCTTGTACTGTTGTTATAGACATGTCTTTCTTTAGGTTGGAAAAGTTTTCTTCTATGATTTTGTTGAATATGTTTTCTGTGCCTTGGAGCTAGGATTCTTCTCCTTCTATCTCTAGTCTTCTTCTTCTTCTTCTTCTTCTTCTTCTTCTTCTTCTTCTTCTTCTTCTTCTTCTTTTCTTTTCTTTTCTTTTCTTTTCTTTTTTTCTCAAGACAGGATTTCTCTGTGTGGCTTTGGAGCCTGTCCTGAAACTCACTCTGTAGACCAGACTCGCCTTGAACTCACAGAGATCCACCTGCCTCTGCCTCCCAAGTACTGGGATTAAAGTCATGCACCACCACCCAGCTATCCCTATTATTCTTAGGTTTAGCCTTTTCATGGTGTCCAAGATTTCTTGGCTGTTTTGTGTTAAGAATTTATTGGATTTAAGATTTTGTTTGACTGATGAGTCTATTTCTTCTATTGTATCTTCAACACCTGGGATTCTCTCTTCCATCTCCTGTAGTCTGTGGGTGATGCTTGCATCTGTAGTTCCTGTTCACATCCACAGATTTCTTATTTCCAGAATTCCTCTGGTTTGTGTTTTCTTTATTGCCTCTATTTCAGTTTTCAAGTCTTGAACCATTTCATTTCCTTCACCTGTTTGTTTTTTTCTTGTCTTTCTTTGTTTTAAGGGATTTATTTATTTCTTTTAATTTTTTATTTGTCTTTTCCTCAACTTCTTTAAGGAAATTTTTTGTTTCCTCTTTAAGAGCCTCTATCAATTCATAAAGTGATTTTTAAGGTCGTTTTCTTGTGTTTCAGCTGCATTGGATGTTCAAGTCTTGCTGTTGTAGGTCACTGGGTTCTGGTGGCGCCACCTTCCTCTCTTGGTTGTTGAATGCGTTCTTACAGTGGTGCTTACTCATCTGTTCTTCCCCTGGTGTGAGTTGTGTCTGTGCTCGGAATCTCCTGGGTGGGAGAGGGGAAGGCCATGATCTTCCTGGGAAAACATTCTGCTAGGAAATTTCTTCTTGCCCATTTGAGAATAAGGGGTGAGGGTCCCACAGTGGTTACTGCTCCTTTTCTGTACGGACGAGCTAGGTGCGGATGTAAGCAAAGGAGCTGATAGTTCCTCATGGTCTGATGCCCACACTCCTAACAGAGCCATGATGGATGTTTTCAGAGGTTGCTCGACTGCCTGGGAGAAAGAAAATTCACTGCTGTTTACATCAGTATACCGAGGAGAAAAACAGTAAATCAGGAGCAATATTTTAATGAAATTTATAATTTGATTTATTTGTATTGTTTTACTCTAAATTTACCGCAGGCTCTATTACTGTCAAGACCCCATCTTCTCTACAAGCTTATTTAAAGTTATCAGGGAAAGAAGTGGTTGTGGATGCAGGCGCTCATGTTCACGACATGGCCAAGGATCATAAAGGTGGCGGTGTGACGGTCACAGGTAAGTAGACTGTGTCACCGTTGACGGATGGTGGGTGGATGGTCATTGCCCATGCCTAAGCAGCAAGCGGACTGCGGTAGCCATGGGTGGATGACCACCGTGCATGCGTGAGCGGCAAGGAGCGTGCGTGTAACCATGGGTAGATGGCCATTGCCCATGCGTAAGCAGCAAGCGGACTGCGGTAGCCATGGGTGGATGACCACTGCGCATGCATGAGCGGCAGTGTGCCAACTGCAGTTCCGGTGTGCCTGACGTTGTTCTTGCAGTGACTGTCAGTGACGTGGTGCAGACACTGTAGAAAAGACCTCCTCACTCACGTAGGGTCACTCTGTGCTTCTGTCCTTATGGAAAAGTCTGAGCCTTGAAAGTCAATGTTATTACACAAGCCGTAAGTTAACTGCGTGGTTAGACAGGAACCCTGTGTGCTGTGCACACTGTAAATTCTCTCTTTTGCTGCGGCAAAGTCTCAGTTCCACAACTTGAATAATTTTTGTGCATTTTTCATTACTTCTAGATACACTAATGCCTATACTGACTTTAAGTATTTGTTTTAATGGTTACTAAAATTATTGCTAGCATTTCCCTTTCAATTTTAATACAATGTCATCAGGAAGAACACTGAAGTAAACGGTACATGTCCATGTGCTACAGGCTTACCCATGAGATCATGGCCATGGATATGAAAGGGTGTTCTTAAAGTCAAGTTTCAATTTTAAGAGTTCTTTTTCTAGGTCATGAGAGTTAAGAGTGCAATTTACTAAAAAAAAACAAAACAAAACAAAAAAAAACTGGATATTGACAAAAGCATAATAAGAATAAAAGTATCTGTATTCCCAGGTCTGACTGTCAGTAGAATCGAAATTACAAGATTAAGATGTGATTAATGTCAGATTATATTAATTGTGCTAAGAATCAATTTGAGACTTGGGGTCGGTTAATTTTGTTCGTCTCTTTTAGGCAAGGTCTCCCTGAGTAGTCAAGGCGGGCCAGGATTTACAGTCCTTGTGGTATAGCCCACCAAGTATTGCCACCGTGTGTAGCCTAACTTCTTGAGTTTGTAAAGAGCCAAGAGCTGTCTAGCACTACTTCAAACTCTATATGTGCATAACTGTCCTTCTCTACCCGGCTCTTTCCTTTCTGCCCTTTCCTGTCTTTATTTGAACATTCACTCAACAAACACTTCTGCAGTCAGACACGGCTAGAAGCTAGGAATGCAGAAGCCGTACAGAGCTGATATTCTCCTGAGAAAGACAGCAGTGCCGGCCGGGCGCGCGCTGTGAAGGTGATGTGCAGAGTGCAGGCACTGCGTCCAGATTAGAACAGCACGTGGCCGGGCGCGCGCTGTGGAGGTGATGTGCAGGGTGCAGGCACTGCGTCCAGATTAGATCAGCACGTGGCCGGGCGCGCGCTGTGAAGGTGATGTGCAGGGTGCAGGCACTGCGTCCAGATTAGATCAGCACGTGGCTGGGCGCGCACTGTGGAGGTGATGTGCAGGGTGCAGACACTGCATCCAGATTAGAACAGCACGTGGCCGGGCGTGCGCTGTGAAGGTGATGTGCAGGGTGCAGGCACTGCGTCTAGATTAGATCAGCACGAGTCTGAGAAATAGAGTCAAGAGAACAGAGGGAAAGCGGATTAAACGTGCCCGAGGATTGGGGTGAAGTTAGTTGATTTGGCTTTTATACTGAGAGCACTGAAAAGCTTTCCCTGGAATTCACATAACTAGGTTTGGATATCAGAACGGTTGGTGAGAGCAAAGCCACTCAGTAGCTGCTCGTGTTCGACAGCCGGACACTTCTGATTTTGGAGGGAGGAAGAGGCCAGCGGATGCTATGAGGACTCATAACATTTAGTGGTTTTGAAAACTTTTAGCCTCTTCTGTCTTTTTCATGTGCTCCCAAACTCTGACTCTGCTTACTCAACCAGAAGAGGTCTAACTGCAGAAGAAAGAGTCTCTTCCTGCTTGCTGCCACCGTCAGGGCAGCAGAGTCCCGCGGTACTGCAGAGGGTGTCCTATGGGGCTGGTCCTGGGTTAGGGACAGGACAAGGCGCCTCAAATGGAGCAGGAGCAGCCTCTCTCAGCGCTCCTGCTGTGCTTCGGTTCCCAAGGCCAGAGGCCCTGTTTTTAAAGTCATCAAATAAAGAGACTGACTCAAAACATCAGTTCTGTTGGAACCCACTCCGGCAGAAATCAGCTGGGGTTCCCTGGGAGGGGGCGCTGAGGCTGAGGAAATGTGAGATTAAGAGAAATGAAGACAGAAACATAGGATATACCGGGAGGACTGAAGGTCAATACCAAACAGCCCCGAGTTCATTTCTCAGCCAGCATATACACTACAGGCAAAAGGCAGGACACAGAGCTGGGCAGTCAGCTGATCACCTCCCTGTGCGGCCCTCGGGAGGAGGTTCAAGCAGGTGCATTATCGTATTCAGCTGAGCAGCCTCTAATCTCTAACGAAGAGTGCCTCTGGCTGGCACACACCAGCCCAAACCTTATAGAAAAATGTGCTCTTTACCATGGCCTTAGTCAGAGTTCCTCACAGCCCTCGGGTTACTGGAACAATCAGAGCAGGCAGGCAGGCTCCAACTCAGATGACTTCTTTAAGGCAGAAATGACTCCAGATGGAAACCGAGTTACACATGGGCTCCCACAAGATCACATTATTCTTTCCCACACAGATACCTGATTAGAAACCTAATTCTGGAAACAGTCAGCAGGTTTACGTATAAGTTAGGTTATAAGCAGCTGAGTTCCGCTCATCTGGGCCTTCTGCGTGGGCTAGGAGGCAGAGAAACAGAAATACTACCCTTATTTCTAAGAGCTCTGGATTGTGTCTGTAGCCAGACTTCTGGATAATTTCTGTAAGAAGTCTTTCTAGTCAGATTGGTTCCTGTTCTGTGGTTCCCTGTCCCAGCTGTCACTGAAGGCCTCCTTAGCTTGCACAACCCCTGCAGTGACAGTGATTTCTAAGTATCACGTGCCGCTCTGAGGTCAGAAGGAAGCGAGGAGTTCAGGCTGAAGGCCACCTGTTGAAACTCTCTGCTCTTCATGAGAATTCGGATTCTGCTTTGTGTATTCTCCATATATGGCAAGTTGAACAAGCTGTGAATAGCTTTGGTGATACCTTATAAATAAGTTAATTTTTCTATTGAGTTTTAGAATTCAGTTTCATCAATTTACATATGAAACTTGGTTGTGTTATATCTAGTCTCCAAGCCCTGGAGTGCCTGTGGTACAATAAAGAAAGTTAAAGGAAAAGTGTTCCAGATAAAAAACTGACGTTTGTCCTGCTTCTCTCATATGGATGCCAGCAGTGTTGCTCAGCTACGTCTCAGTCAAACTGCAGCGTAAACACACACACACATCCACGTAGAGTTCTCAGTATATTACTACCTAGAATGGAAAACCAGGGCTGGAGAAGAGGCTCAGCCAATAAAATGCTTGCCTTATGAGCATGAGCGCTGAAGTTTGACCCCAGGACCCACACCCACATACTTAAAACAAACAAACAAGAAACAGATTATCATAAATAATCGTAGCACTGGGGAGGTGGTGACAGTCTGGTTCCTGGGCTCTCTGGCCAGCCAGTCTCGCCGACTCAGTGAGTTCCAGGCCATTTGAGAAAACCTGTTTGAAAATACAGGATAGATAGGACCCAAGGAATAATCCTGAGGTATCCTCTGGCCTCCACGCACTGGAGAATCGGGCCAGAGGTTGGAAAGAAGTTGAAATGTGACCTAAGTCCTTAGGTTCTATCTTGTAACGTAAGGATAGATTTTATTGCTCCAAATAAGGAAAAAAAGTGCAGCCTTTTGACACAACTTTTAGAAATAACTGTTGTGTTTAGAATATACGGAAGTAATTTGTTGGTGGCATATGTATATTAAGGATCATATTGGAGAAATTCAGTAAGTGGAAACAATACTATCAGGTTTATGTATGTAAGGCTTTTTTCTTTTTTATGTCTTTTTTATGGTGTTTTGCCTGCACACATGTCTATGTGAGGTATCAGAAGCCCTGGACCTGTAATTACAGACAGTTGTGAGCTGCTATGTGGGTGCTGGGAATTGCACCCAAGTCCTTTTTGGAAGAGCAGCCAGTGCTCTTAACTGCTGAGCCATCTCTCCAGCCTGTATGCTTTTCAAAGTATTTACTTAAATATGCTGATGGAGAATTAATATAGGAACTGTTATCATAACACTTATGTTTTATTTCCTTAACAAAGTGTGAGATTTTGAAAATATCATGGGTAATGAGACAGACAGCGCCTTTGTTAATGTCTACCAATTTGCTTCTGTTCACTGTAATCTGTGTAAAGGCTAATAGCATTTGTATAACTTTTTTTTTTCCCGAGACAGAGTTTCTCTGTGGCTTTGGAGCCTGTCCTGGAACTAGCTCTTGTAGACCAGGCTGGCCTCGAACTCAGAGATCCTCCTGTCTCTGCCTCCTGAGTGCTGGGATTAAAGTCATGCACCACCACCTCTCGGCTTGTCTAACATTTTTGAAAAGAAAAATCTCCCAGGAGGGATGCAGTTACAGGGATTAAGTTACCCTCTCACCCGAAACAAAGATAGCCGGTGACGTCATCAGGGCCCAGATAGCTGAAGAGGGAACTTCAGCTGACCCTGCGCTGAGGGGATGGAGAAGACAAGCTTCCAAAGGCAATGGAGTCCCGGATCACACAGTGCTGGGGACACACCACCAAAGCCTGTTCAACCAGAAGCAAGCTTTATCACTGAGAAAGAAAAAAAATCACCACGGAGCACACAGAGCTTATCAGCTATGGCTGTGAACACAGCCAGAGATCGGGCTTCTGTAGCTGTGGCCATGGGGCTGGTTTTCAGCCTTCTCTTGTAGGAAAATCAAGCACCAGGTGTGGGCCAGAGAGCTTTTACAGCCTTGAGGTCAGGCTTAAAGTCACATTGCACTTGAAGTTTTACAACTTTTGGTTATAGGACATTAGAATATTAACTTAGAATGTTTGCAAAAGCCTGTGACTGACACGGCCACTTTTCACTGTCCATGAAGGAATGCAAGGCAGAGGATCCGCTAGAGGCCGCAGTTAGACGCTAACCTGTGTCTGCAGTACCTGCCTGGCTGTCAGGATGTCTGCTCTTAAGGCAGAAAGTGTCTAGTAGTAAACAGTGGCTGCCAACTTTTCTTTTTTTCTTCCAAAATGTGTTTGTGATTACAACTTTATATTTCTATATTCCTGGAGCAGACCCAGAATATATTCTGTTCCTGGACTCTTCAACACAGGTCTAGGATTTTTATCAAGACCTTTTCTGCAGCTATAAAGGTGGTCATGTGATTGTCTCTCAGTCCACTTATGTGACTTGTTATATTTGTTGACTAAAATATGCGGCACCATCCCTGTATCTCCTGGATACAGTTTGCCTGTATTAAACTTGCAAGTGTTAATACTGAGGATTTCGGTGTCTGTGTTCCTCAGGGATATTGACCTGAAGTTTTCTTTCTTCTTGGGGATTTACCTGGTTTGCGTAGTAGACTAATACTGGCTTCATTGGTGTTTGGAAGTATTGCTTCTGTTTCTGTTTGTTTGAGTAATTTAAGAAGTACTGGATGTAGCACTTCTTTGAGATTCTGGTTCTGCTATGAATCTGTCTGGGCTTGGGCTTTTCGGGTCAGTGTTGATGAACTCTCCCTGGTTTAAATTTGGTGATTTGGATAAATACAGGCATTTGTTCATTTAAGTTCTCTGACTTAATGGAGTATGGGTTGCTAAAGAATTCCCTTCTAGGATTTTGACTTTGTTTGTACCTGTTATAATATTTGCCTGTTTTGTTTTTTTTTTTGAGTCTGTTAATGTAGATCATCTCTTTCTTTTGGTTAGTTTAGCCAAAAGACTTTCAATCTTATTTTTTCAAAGAGCCACCTCTTAGATTGAATTTTCCTTGACCCTGTCTCATTAATTCCTGCCCTGATTTTTATTACTTCCTGCCACATATTAGATTTTGTTTTGGTTTGTTTTTGCTTTTCCAAATTCTTGAATTGTAGCATTAAGTCATTTATTTGAGTTCATTCTATTTTTAATGTAAACAGTGAAACTTAGGACTTATGAATTTCCCTTTTTAGGAGTACTTTTAATGTCTTCCCCAGAGGTTTTATTGTTCTGTGTTTTCATTTTCATTTAGTCCCAGGAATGTTTTTTCTTGATTTCTTTACTCATTCATCATTTAGTAAGGTGTTGTTTCAGCTCCCCGAGTTTGTGTAATTATGAGAAAACTGTTTGATTTTGATTTTAAGTTTTGTTGTACCATGGCCAGATAAGATACATGGAATTTTATCATTTGTCCTGATTGTGTTAAGATTTGGTTTTTGTCCCAGGATGCAATCTGTGTTAGAGACGTTTCCATGGGCTGCTGAGTAGAATGCTTATACTTGGCATTTGAGTAGAATTTCCTGTAGATCTGTTAGGTCAGCGTGGTGTATAAGTCATTCAGTTCTGACATCATACGATTTACTTGTCCAGATGACATATGTATTGGTGAAAGTTGAGTGATGAAATCACCTACTGGGTTTAAGGTCATTAGTCTGTGCCTTTAATGCTGGTGGTACACTTTTTATGAAATTGGGTACACTGCAGTTTGGTGCATATATATTTGGGGTTGTAACAGCTTGTCACACTTAGGGTAGTGGCACTTGTTCACTTCCAGGCCCCATGTGTTTGCAGTACTCTCCCATCCTTCTACTCTGGCAGTTTTTAAAACTTTCTTGTAGACAACAGAAAGCTGGGTTTTCTTTCTTACAGTCAGCCTGTGTCTTCTGGCTGGAGAGTTGAGGCCGTGAATGTGTAAAGTTAATATTGAAAAGGCGTGTGTCGGTTGTAGACATGTTACTGTTTGTTTTCAGTTTGTGTTCCTAGCCCTGCGTTGTGTTCCAGCGACTAAGGCTCCATTCCTTCTTCCTATCGTCCCTTGGCTACACTGAGCAGGCGCCTAGAGGGCGGACGGTAGAGTCAGAGCAGCGCAGACAGCTGCCCTGCCCACTTACGGGAAGGCACACGGCCTCACAATGGTCATTTGCCCTTTTTTATCCACAGAAAACGTCTCTGTTTTTAGACAGAGGGACATGTAAGAATAAGGTTTAGGAACCAGGCTCTGGTGTGTTGCCAGACTTGGATCTGAATGATCTGTAAACCGTATAAGTCAGACGAGCATCTGCACAGATTCAGGCCAGAGTACAAGAGCTTTAGTGATGTACCTGTTGGCAAGACAGGAAGTGTGTGATGTCCTGCCTTGGAGAGTGGAGGGTAACTGAAGTCAGTCGTCTGTCCTGTGTCACCAGCGGCCTTGCTCTCGGCCTCTCCAGCTTCTTACTCCATAAGACAAGCACACATACTGAGGCAGTGTGAGGGCTGAATACTAAGGACAAGGCTGGGGAAAGTCTGTTGATACTTTATGATCGGTGCTAAGCAATGTTCAACAACAAAAAGTTAAGGAATTCCAGTCTTGCCTCCATGTTTATTTGAATCACTAGAAAAAGAAATTCTGTATTATAGAAAACCCATCAGTGCAAGACGCATCTACCATATGCAGCACAGGCACAAGAAAGGCAGTTAGAGGTAAAGCCGACCCTCACTGAAGAGTGGGTGGGGCAGGAGGAAGCTTCCTACACAGGACGCACTGAATGCCCTCAGAGGCGCTTACACACATGTAGCAAAGGAGAGGTGTGCGGGCTTGGGTGTACTGAAAACACAGCAAGGAGAGGGCACGGGAAGGCGGCCCAGGACGTGGCTGAGTCGTCGTCGTCGTCGTCGTCGTCCCCCCCCCCCCGCTGCATTCTGGAGCAGGGGCAGGGAGTCCAGGACACACTCCCGACTGTGGTTCAGGGGGAAGGGAGGGGAAGTGAGAATGCAGAGAGCTTGGAGTGTGACATAAAGACCGCATATCACAAGGAACATGGCCTCAGCTGAGACTGTCTCATGGTGTTAACAGGGAGACAACCATAGGAAAAGGAAGTGTCGATGGTGGATTGCAGGAACCGGTTCCGTCGGCGCTGGTTTCACTTCGGTGGCTCTCAGGAGAGACTATGTGTTGATGGCAGAGGTGATGTGGAACTAGAGCAGCCATGGGGGGAGAGAGAGAAAACATCTCACTGTGTGACTGCGACCGTTCCCAGGACAGGATGCAGAGAGAAGGCTAAGCTGAGGCCCCAGGGACAACGGGGGCGGGAGGAGCTGTCCCTGAAGTTCTACAGATGCCACCCAAGAACACCCAACAAGTGTAGATGCTTGGGGGAAGCTGCCTGGTACAATGTGGACATTGATACAGCCTCAATCACTTTGGAAAAAGAAAAATTTAAAAGTACAGTTCCTTTTACGTAAATACAAATAATCCACAGTTACAAAGCAGATCAGTGATTGCTAGGTTGTGGGGTGAGGGAACAGTTGGCTCACGGGCAGGAAAGTATGTTAGCCAGCCTTCGGTTACTGTTACAATTATCTGAGCTAATCAGCTTACAGTGAGAACCCCTGCTCCAGTCTCTGATCAGCAGGCCCCTTTACCTGTGGGCCGGTGCCGAGGCAGCGTAAGGAGGGGCTGGGACACTCCAGGGACCAAAAGACCTACGACAGGACCCACTTCAGGAAGCTCCCACCTTCCCATAGCGCAGCTGGTGGGAAAGCCTTTAACACAGCCTCTGAGGGACAGGGTACGGGTGAAAAATCACAGTGTGCTCGCTGTCGTGTGGGGAGAGAGCTGACTCCCCAGACCTCCACACTTGTCAGATGACTGTGCTGTGCACCTCAGATGCAAGTAGTTTAATGATGCAGTGGCAGAAGTCTCGTGTGACGGCTCACCTCGGTTGTTCTGACCGAGTGAACGAGGAGCAATGCACTCCGCTCTTCACAGCTTTCCTGACTGACGCTGGCGCTTGTTTTCACGATGTGCTCGTGCTTAGGCATTTCTGCCTTTTTGAGATGCGCGAGTAAGATTAGTCTGCTTAAATATTGTTCTTGGCGACTAAAGTGAACTTGGTGCAATTCTGTATTTCAGGACTCATCAATCAAGCAAGGAGTCAGGAAAGGTGGATAAACGCCGTCGCCCCTAAAGGCACTGTGACTTTTAAACATCAGAGCTGGTTTCAGTCCCTGAAACTGCCGGGCTGAGAACGGCTCTGCCATGTTTGTCAATTCTCGTGTGGACTAGCAGACCTGTGAGTGTGAAAACGCTGACACCGGAGTTCACTGCAATGTCACAAACAACAGCATTGGCCTCGGGCGTTCCGCAAAACGTGCACTTGACTACAGAGTTTGTTTTCTATTGCTGTGTTCCAAGTTACAGAAGCCCCCAGGATATGTTCTGAGACATCCAGGGATGCCTGAAACCACAGGCAGTGTCAACTCCTATAAACTGTGTTTCTTAATAAACACACATGCCAGCTGAATGCCTTTCCTGTTCAACTAAGCGGATACATACTCTGAGCAAAACTCTGGCCGTTGTTCTTCCAATAGCAAGAGAGATGGCTTTCTTCTTCCTTCTTTGCAGGGTCACAGCAGTGCATCCACCCTGACTGTCGGGCCTAGCAGCCTCAGCATATAATTTGTTTTCTTACCAAGTCGAGAACTTTTATCTTTTTCCTTAAGGCATTTTGTGGCTTCTCTTTGTCAGACCCAACTGCAAACGTCATTACCGCTGTACCTCAGAGCCATTGCTAACATAAGGACCCGCTGGACTCTGGCACCGCGGCACCACTGTGATGGCTGAGTGACGGAGTGGCTGACGGACAGCTAGTGTGCACAGGTAGCATGACGCGCGTGCAAGGGAACGGCTCACACTGAACGGATCAGTGCAAGGCTCCCTCGTGCTGCTTCAGATGACACACGATTTAAGACTTACACATTACTTACTTCCAGAATTTATCAGCCACAAGTTACTGAAGAAATAAGAAGCAATCCTTGGATGGGGCAAGAGAACAGTTCTCCCAGATTTAATGACTTCAGATCACTCTTCGCAGCTTATAGCTGGTGATGTGGGCCTTGTGCTCCGCGTCTCTCGGCTGGAGCAGAGGTGCCGACCAGGCTGAGGATGTTGTCTGGGGCTGCAGGGAGAAGGCTCCCAGGCTCACTCTTATTGTAGGGAAATCGCATTCTTTATGCCTGTGTGACATCCTTGTCTTGCTGCCTTCCATAGAGGGTTACTCTGTCCGTCTGCCATCTCCACCTCGTGGGGACCCGCTGTCTTCATGGGAACACACGGAGTCCTCCTGCTGTGAACGTCTGACTTCCGTATAAGCTGGAGAAAGCTCTGTTTGGTTGGCCAAGGTATTTAACATGATTCTGGGCATGTCACATCCTCTCCACGCACCCACTTGAGAGATGACTGTGTCAAGGCCCAGGTGTCAAAGTCACCTTCGGATTGTTGTTACTGCCGCCCACATGAGAGAGTTTCTTCTTAGTACCTCCTGTGGCATTGTCTTTAAGTTGTGACTCAAACACTTCTCATGTAGGTGAAGCAGGAGCTTCTGATTTAGTGTGTCTGCAGGTGATGATGTACTCACTGTGGGAAAGAACTTATTCTGTCATCAGATGTATGAAGATACAATCACTTTCATAAGGCACGCTGTAATTTATAGAATTCCTTTATGAATTCCATTTCTTTAGAAATGGCTACTGTAACATTAACTGTACTACACTGAGCAGATCAATTTATCGGATTGTATTTTGGTTTTGATAAATTAGTGATTAGATACTGATTTCAAATAAACTTTCTAAATATTATTTATAATAAGTCTCCTTTTATTGATGTCTCATTTCTTTATATTCTTTCCAATATTTTATTTGTGAAATAAAGTCAGCCTTGTTGGTCTGTGACTGTCCCCTTAGAATTTACTCTTAATAAAATGGGAATTTATATAAAATGGACTGTCTCACATGCTGGGACATTTTGTGTGGTATTTGTGCGGTGAGCTGTTAAGCAAAGGAAATGACGAGGCAGTAAGGCAACTTTTATAATATTTTTCCACTCTTAGGCAATTAGAAAAACATTTCATGACTAAAAATAAAGTTGATAAAAGTAGCCAACAACAACCCCAAAGGCCATGAATTAGAATTCAGCTGAGGATGCTCAGAGTTATTAGTGAGATTGTACATAGTGGCCTCCTTCCATAGCCCGCTTTTCTAACTCCTGTCCTTCCAGGCCATTTCTGTAGCTCTGAAGTTTACCTCCTCCAGATGAGCGAACAGGCCCCTCATTCTTGTTATTAAAAAGATATTAAGAGTTTGGAACAGGCTTTGGTATAGTGGGGTCTGTTTTCCTTGACCTGGTCTTCCCCATGCAAATGTCTCTCTCCTAGAAACCGGCTGCCTCTTTTATGTCTCCCGAGCTGTGTGCACAGAACGCTCAGGGGTCAGACTCTTGAAGTCAGCCCTCACGCAGCTGCCACAAACCCCAGAGTTAAAGGTCTCAATCATACTGTGGTCATTTGGTGCAGATTTAAAACTCGCTGTTTGAACAGAGCCCCTTGCTCTTGACTCCCGTGGACTGCCTGCCACAGATTCCACAAACATCCACGAAGGGAGGAAATTATTTAAAAGCCTTTAACTGATACAGGATACGCAATAATAATATGGTGCAGAGACCTTTTTTAAACTTTTAAATGTTTCAACTGTTACACATTGTAGGTCAACAGGCTAACCTTGTTTAAGAGATAAGGGACTGAGGAAATAGGCAAAAGGCTGGTCCAGTGTCCCTGCCACAGCACGTGTGTAGCGGTCAGCAAAGGTCTCCCCCTGTCTTGCAACATCAGATCCTATGATGGTAAAGATAATGGATCAAACAATGCTAAGAAAAAAAAAAAACCACGATAGAAGCATATTAAATTAGTCTTCAGATATGAAATTAAAGGCCAGGTCTTCATGGAAAAAGACTGAAAGGTGTTTTGTTTTTGTCTGTTTGGCATCCCTGTGTAGCCCAGACAGGCCAAGAAGACCCAGCAAGAGTCCCTGTGTAGCCCAGACATGCTAAGAAGACCCAGCAAGTGTCCCAGCAGCGCCCTTTCTGGCCACCTTGCTCCTGTTTCTCTCCAATTTGCTTCTGTTGAGTGTTGAATCTAGGGATTTTTAGCTCTCCTTTATTGTCAAATGTCTGGAAACTATGAGAAAGCTTCTTTTTGCCTTTGAAAATGTCCCTGTCATGTATACCAAAGCTTGACAGATCCTCAGAGTCGTCCACCACCTTGGCTCAAGAGCTGACTGGTTTCTGTGGTCATCTCCACTTTCTTGTCCTGTCTGGAGAGCATTTCCTACTTGCTTAAAAAACAAAGGCCATGTCTTCCAAGCTGTTTCCTATGTTGTAACCTTGGGTCTGATCATCTCACTAAACTTAGTTTGCTTGGAACTGGAGAGATGGCTTAGTGGTCAAAAGTCTTCACTGGCCTTGGGGACCCAAGTTCGGTTCCCAGCACGTACATAACTCTCACAGTCCTGTGTGATACCAGCTCTCAGTCTTTGTGGACTCTGCACACACACAGTCTCACACGGGCACACATACATTAAATGAATAAATGTTTGAAAATAAATTGACCGGGTTACCGTGGGGTCTCATGAGATAGAGGTGATGTTTGCTTTGAAGTAAGACACGGAGGCATATGGCTTTTTTGTGTTGTTACTGGGAGCCAGCAACTAACAATATGAACATCAAATGGAGAAACATCAAAATCAGTTCCAGATGTTCTGTTTTTATTTGAGGTTGGAGTCTGGATTTTCCTCATCACTGCTGAAAGCCTCTTTGACTATCAGTTCTGAGTAATTTTTAATTGGTACTTTACTGTGAGGCTCTGCGAGAGGATTGCCTTCGGAGTCATACCCAAACCATCTCGGAGGGTTGCCGGAGCTGTATTCCTGATGCTGGACCGCAGCGGCCATTCTGTGAGCTGCTGCCCTGCAAGAGCAGTGCTGAGTGTTAGTGCGCGCAGAAAAGGAATTCCTACGGTTTTCAAACTTGACCGAATTTGGAACTGGAAACACACTCTCACTAGTCACATTCAAGGCAGAGCTCCGCTTTTGGGAGAGAAAGTTGGGAATTGTGTAAAAAGATTGGGCACCCCAGGGGAAAGTATCTGTAGTTCAGTCAATTCAGGGCTGACCAGGCAGTGAGGATGTCCTTATCTGGGCCAAGAAGCAGGAACACGAAGTCACTTACAGCGCTTTTGAGTTCAGGCTCAGCCTGATGCAGCTCCGGTTTCTTTGATGGAGGAACAACCTGACCTCCCCTCCCTGTAAAGGCTGACAATGTCAGAAAGGACCTCGTCATCAGAGCTCACAGACCCCTGTGGATGCAGGGTGGATTCTAGGAAGGAAGGCCCATGAACTTGCTAAAAGTCCATGTAGTTTTGTCTCCAGGATATATCTTTCTTGGAAGGTTGTGACTCAAAGAGGTTCATAGCCAAAGAATTAAAACATATTGTTATACTTTCTTAGGAAGAAATAAGAAAACAAAGAACACACGTGTGCATGTGCACACACAGACACACACTTTTCATCTTTGATGAACAGAAATGTAAAAGTTCATAGTCAAATGCAGCAACACATTAAGAAGATCGCCTAGTATAATCAAGATGATTTCATTGCAGTGATGTAAAGATGTAACATGCAAACCAATAAACATAATACAGAGCATGAAGAGACTCAGAAGTCACAGACAGTTCAGTAGATGCAGAAATGGCCTTTGACAACATTAGATATCCATTTATGATAAAGACTCAAAAGCGAAAACTACTAAGGATAGAAGGAACTTACCTCAACATAACAAGACTACGACAACCTATAACAAGCATACTAATTGGGGGGAAGCATTTCCTCTAAAATCAAAAATGTGACAAGTGTTCACTCCCTTCACCCTTCTTCAATATCATGTTTATATTCTTAACCAAAGCAATAAGGCAAGAAAAGGAAATGAAAAGAATACAAGGGGAAAAGAGAATTCAAGTTATCTATAGACAATAAGATCGTGCACTAAAAGACACCAGTGACTTCTCAAAAGCTCTTTGATCTGATAAATAGTTTCAATAAAGTATCCAGTTACAAAAAAGTCAACATCCAAAGCCCAGTAGCTTTTTATATATACCAATAACATACTAAAAGAAATTAGGGATGATCTCATTCATGATAACTGAAAAGAAACAAATGTACATGTGTGCAGGCGTGTGTGTGTGTGCACACACACACAGAGCCTAGGAATAAACTTCACTAGGTAAGTAGACAATGTCTACAATGAGAACTAAAATACTGAACAAAGCTGACAAGCCTGCTGGCACTGTCTTTGATGCAAGGACATGACATTCAGAGACAGCAATGGCCTTGACTTTTGGGGAGAGTTTGTTTAGGGAGCAAAGGACTTGAAAGTTGATCCAATTATCTGTCGCCTGTGGTTTCCAAAAGCACTGGTTTTAAAGAGTTGATAATGAGGCTAAGAACACACTGCTAAGTTTGGGGATGAATAAATAGTGGATTGTGCAATACAATTCTTCAGTAAGATAGAAGCTACTGTAAATTCAGTGCTCTTTAATGGGTTTGTTAAGTCTTAGAGTCTATGAAAGTTATGATGAGTGTATTGTACAATGTATTGGTTATCCATCTTGTGACAAGAGGTTCTGGAAAAATTATGGTATTAAAAATAAAACTTAACAAATAGTAGGGGACTGAGAAAAATCATAAGCAGGAAGTTGCTGCTGACTCAGCACAAAGAAGACAAGTGGCCGGGTTGGTCACTGTTTGTGGCATGCAGTAAGCCAGGCATTTATCCACGGCCACAGAAAGTGCACAGGGGAGCATGCATTTCTGTGTGTGCTCAATTTGAGGGGGGGGAGGCTTCTAGTCCTCCTCACCCCAGCTCTTCCACCACTCCACCCACAGGCCACCTCAACTAAGTGGGTCCGTGGCCCAGATAGCAAGCAGCGAGGCTTCGGAAGGAGTCCCACTTCCCCTAGTCCCAAGATGGTCCAGTCTGGGGTGAAAGAGCCGCTTTACTCGGGGAGGGGAACCGAGTGGACTGCATTTCAGCAGCAGAGCTAGAACTAAGTGGCAAGGGGCAGAAGTAACTTTGGTCGCCTGCTTGACCAGCAGGAAGGTGCTGAAAGTAAAAATCTTCTGTGAAAGGAATATAAAAACGCAAGGTGAATTTTAGAAGGGCATCCCTGGTTCAACTCAGAATGTTAGTTCCAGTTGGTCAAAATGTACATGGTTGTATCTTACAAATGGTACCACCACGCGCCATGCTATCCCGGCATTTCAAGTGGTACCGCCACATACATGCTCTCCCGGCGTTTCCAATGGTACCGCC